TGTGTGTGTGTGTGTGTGTGTGTGTGTAGACACGCGCGTGCGAGTGTGTAGACCGCCTCTAGTTACTAATTATGCGCCCGCAGTCTGCGCCCGTTGGTTGAAGCTGTATGGTAGAAGGGTTCAACTTACGTTCGTCTGGGCCATTCGATAGCCTATTGAAAGTTCCAGTAATTGTAATTATAGTTTCAACCTACTGTTAGATCGTTACAGAAAAAGAGGTGTGGTATTCGAATATTGTGGGCGGATGCTTTTGTGTGTGTGTGTGTGTGTGTGTGTGTGTGTGTGTGTGTGTGTGTGTGTGTGTGTGTGTGTGTGTGTGTCTATTTGCTGTCCTTTTCCCCCCGAAGAACATTGTGTTTAGGCTAATACGTAGTCTTATATCCTATCTTAGACAAACCCCATCTTATTTTCTCACTCCATTTGCAATCTCGACATGGCTTATTTTCATAACATAATGATAATTTATTAACCCTATCCGTACGTCGTGTTTTACTATCGTATCCGTACGACGTGGGGAACTCTGTGCCACCACTTTCCAAAGAGGAAATTTACTCGATTAATCCGATCCGTACACTCTGCATATAGCAGTCTGTCAAAATGATTTTTTGAGAAATACTGCAAGTTTCAAAGAGATCTTCGCACTAGAAGTATTCTAAAACGTGAAGAATACAACCCGGGGGGTACAAAATGACCACAGGGCGTACGGATAGGGTTAATAAATTCTGAACTTTGACATATTAAAAATACATGAAAGCCTATGTTAAGAGTTGTTCGGAATACGGTCACTCAAAGCACACGGAGGAGACATGAGCCCTACATCCACGTAGCAGCGAAGGGGTTAATAGTTATATAGTTGGCTTATCCCTCACTAGTCATTGTTATAGTTGGCTTATCTCTCACATTTAGTTTTGTTTGTTGTTTCGTCGTAACCTTATCAGCTTCACGTCCTGACAATAGACCTATTGTTTCTGACCACAAGACAATGTCATTTGTCTTTTCTCTCATTTCAGAGCAGTTTTATATTCCGAGGAGCCGAAGTAACTTGCTTGGTCACTCTGCTCCTCTAAAGGACAAAGAGTTCACCAGTAGTTATTGTGCGCGTTAGGGCTTAGTTTTTCCACAAAAAATACAGACACAAGTTTTGCTGAAAAGAGCACGATACACAATTAAATATCTGGAAGCTGACCATGTT